AAACTATGGCTTGAAATGGAGTTCAAATGAAAGTATTAAGTTTTCTCTCAGCAGATTTTATTTATTTTCAAAATGAATACATGCACCTATTCCAGGAATTTAAGTTAGTCTAGGCCTTATAAATTTGTGTCTCTCAATTCTTGGCAACTTTTTCTTTCAAATTTTCAGTGACCTAGTTTGAATCAGATAATGACATTTGCTGGTTGGTTAGTTAAGTCTTTTATTTTCCCCAGCTTCATCTCTTGCTCTGTTTCCCTCCTTTTTTTTGATTGTGGCTTAGGCTTCTGAATGTTTCTAGTTGTTCATTTTCATACCTTGTCTGAAATTAAAGAGCATGCGAAATAAGAGGCATGCTTCTGTGCCCCTTGGCCATGGCAGTTCCCAGTAAGAAACACATGGGATTGGCAGGAGGTACAGGGAAACTGCTAAGCAGACTCTGGTCACTCTTTAGACCCTGTAGTTCCTGGCATGGCATGTGCAGCATGCTACCATGTGCACCAGTGGGTCATCATTGCTCTGCTTGAAGGAGGTATCCTGGAGATGGATCTTCTCGTCCTCTTGGGATTATCTTCATGTTGCTTTTTGGAAGGAACACCCACCAGTACTTGGTTCAGTCTTTGCTAGTCATGGCAGGATAAGTATAGAGTGGGAACATCCCTCAGAATGCCACCAGCTGTCCAGCATAGGTACAGATACTGCAGATACATTCATATGAGCAACACCCTACCCAGATGGGAAACACTGGGACTCCAGACATCTTGATATCTGTGATGGGTAATCTTGATTGTCAATCTTGTTAGCTACAGGTACATAGGAGATTAGTACAGCACACTTCTTGGTGTGCCTGTGTGGGTCACTGGGGCATGACCACAGGGACTATATCTGGTACCTGGTTCCTTCTTCTCTGGGTTCTTCCCCAGCTCTCTGCTTTCTGGCTGCCAAGAGTTGAGCAGCTTTCCTCTGCCACACCCTTCCACCATGAAGTTTCTGCCTTGGAACCAGCTAAGTATAGACTGCAACTATGAGCCAGAGCAAACCTTTCCACCTTTACATGCAGGTGTCAGATATTTTGTCTCAGCAATAAGATAATGGGGCATACATCATAATGAACTATATGTTTTAACTAAGAAATAGATGAAGTAAAGATTTGGAGGTAATTGTAACTGATTTTGACCATATATTTTCATGACCTATTTCATATGACTTTTGTGATTACCTCAAAGACTTTAAAACTCAAAAGTGCCAAATTGAGTAAATTCTTACCTAGGACTTTTTCATGATGAAAAACTATGTCTGTTTCTCATTGACAAGAATTTTAATTTCCTGAGCATAGAAAGTTTAAGTAATTATGTACTTTATGTCAGAAAATATTTTTAAGTTAAATGTTACAAATGTATATTTAATATTTGCTTTGTACAAAACACTGATAGACTTTTTAGTGGGTCCAGAGTTTATTTACTTTGTACATCCTTACTAAGCCAGTGCCACCCAGGCAAGGTCCCTGTGATATAGTGATAGCAAATAGAGGTTTTTCTTAAAGGAGCTTGCTAGCATAGTTGGGGAAACAGGTAATTATAAAATAAAAGTATGTAAAGGGAATACATCAGCCATGTGCGGTGGCATATGCCTATAATCCCAATACTCTTAAAGACAGGATCATAAGTTTGAGCAATTTAGTGACACCTTACCTCAAAATAAATATTTTTAAAGGGCTGAGAATGTAGCTCAGTGAGAAGGCCCTGGTTCAATCCCTAATACTTCAGAATCTTAATCAGTCAATCAATAGAACAAGATAAAGGGGTGTGTCACAAACATTGGGCAATCACAGTAAACTTTCTGAAGGGATTCCATTGGAAGCTGGGCCAAATATAAGTAGGAATTTGCCAATCAAAGCATGTTGTTTCTGGGTGGGGCATTAAGTGTATTCCAGGTAGATGGTGCTAGATGAGTAGCCTAGGAAGAATGAGTTGCAGGCATGTGTCATATTTGTCTTGAATCAGAGTGATCCCTTCCATTAAGGCACTGATCCCATGAGCAAGGACCCAACCCTCATGACCTAATTACTTCTCAGAGGCCCAGTCAAGATGCTAATCTTTTGAATTTAGTATTTTGATATGTGAATTTGGAGAGACACAAACAGCCCTTTTTCTACACTCGCTTTCTTTGTGAACAGCAGCAGCCCCAGCCTGCATCTTTCCAGGGTGAGGCCCAGTAGAAAAGAGAGCACACTATTGTGTGAACACATATTCCACAATGGTTGTAACTGGCTCTGACTACATCATGTGCTCATCTGGGAAGTGATCACTGTTGTCAGGGACATTCTGGCTACCACTTGGTCAGTCTGAAAAGCATTTTCAACCTTGAAGCTGAGTCAGTTTTATACAGACAAACTGGGTTCTAAAATTTAAAAAAATGTAAATGGCCTCACATATTTGTAGCACTTAGTAATTTCTGTAGTGTAAATACAACCATCACAACTAATTTCAAGATGCCTAGCTTGAATACTTCTGAATTCCTCTTAGATCTTGCAAGCCCGTTCCAGCAGATCCAACAGAGCATTTCTTAGCTGAAGGCAGGGCTGCCAGACTCACAAAGGCAGCTGCTAAGGGAGGGCATGGTGCTCTGAATGGAAATCACAATACTGTCTCATAAAGAGGGGTAGGTGTCTGATAGGCAAAGTCAAGTAAGTTTGCCCTGTACTACTGAAAGAAGTTTTAAACACTTTAGTATATCATAGCATAACATTTTTAAGAGCAATATAATATACCATTCTGTGAGGTAAACTATAGTTTACCTTTCTTTTATTGTTGAACATTTAGGTTGGTATAATTATGAATAATGGCTTTGTTAGACATGTCAATCCTTAGACATTTAGGACAGATTTATTGAGATAATTTGGTTAAGTAAGTAAAATTACTGTGCCAACCGAATGGACCTCTTAATGCTTTTAATGACCATTCTCCAATAGATGTACAAAATAGGTTTACCACTTTATATCACCCTATCATTTTAAGAAAAGAATTATTTCATATTTGTAGCATTTAGTAATTTCTGTAATTGTACTCTCATTAAGAATAGTTTTAAAATAATTGATAGAACATAATTTATATATGATTTTCTTTTGCACTTTTCAAATTGCTGAAATTGTGAAAATGTCAATGTTCTTGTGATAGGCATATTTCTTCCATTGAATTTTTTATCATTTCTCACTTTTGTTTGTATGTATTGATCCTACTTTATTATGGTCTTAGGTTTTAAAATTTTATGATTAATTTAATTAATAGTAGAACAATTAATACTGGAAAGTCCAGCACAAATCACAGCTTGATAAATGCTGAGGGGAGTGCTTTATACAAAACTCAAATTCTGTGTAATTTAGAGGATCATTGGCTGCTCCTAAAGGTAAACCCTATTTCACAGTGACTTAACACCATAGAACTTTATTTCTTGCTCTTATCAGCGTCCCATGTGGGTGTTCCTAGTTAGGCATCTTCCGTGAGGTCATTTCAGAACAGAGGCTGTCCTGTGCCACAACTTTCCTTGCCTCTAGGTCTGTGCAGTCATTTCCATTCAATGGCAGGGTGGTGAAAGAGAACAGAGGACAATATGTGTGAAAATCTTGTAGGCGAGGCTGCAAGTGCTGCTTCCCATATGCTTACAGTATTCTGCAACTAAAGCTCAACCCCATGGTTATATCTAATTGCCAGGAGAGCAAAAGGATGTGGTAAGGATCTAGCCAGCCTTTGCCCAAACTTCCAATCCCAAAATGAAGAAATCTTTTCATAAAATCTGATTCTGTTCTATACTACGTGAGTATATTTGGAAATAAATCACTCTTACCTGGATTATTTACATGATTTAAATATGAAATGGAAAATTAAAAATATTTATTGATTTGATGAGAGGTACATAGATTTCTAATAAACCAGAGAAGTGAGGAAATGATTTTGAGTAGTTGTTGAATGGCCTTTAATTTAGACATTGAAGAAAAGAGAGTGGAAATTGTTGAGCAAAATGACTTTGACATATAAACAAATTTTGGATAGGTAGTATTCAATACATTAGAAAATTAAATGTACAAGGCACTATATAAGGAATTTATAATTAGCTCAATCAGAGAAATGCTAATCAAAGCCACTGTGAGATCCCACCTCACATCCATCAGGATGACTTTTGTCAGAGACAGTTGTTGATGAGGATATGAAACAAAGTAAATCATTATACTCTGTTAGTGAGAATGTAGATTGGTGCAGATATTTTGAAAAATGAAGTACCTTATGACCCAGATATCCTTCTTCTGCATATACAGTGTATCAGAAGGAAATGAAATCACTACCTCTTAAAGATATTGACACCCTCATGTTTATTGTGACATAAAACAATAGCCAAGATAGGGAAACAACTTAATGTCCCATCACTGAATGAATAGATAAAGTAACTGTGGTAGTCTGTGTTTATTAAGCCTTAGGAAAGGAGATCCTGTCATTTCCCAAAATATGTCTGAGCACAGAGAATATTATGCTAAATGAATTAGCCAGACTGAGAAAGAAAAGTATTGCATGAATTCACTTGTACATGGAATCTTTTACTTTTTAAAAGGGCAAATGTACAGAAATGGAGAATAAACCAGTGGTCACTAGGGGCAAGGGTGAGGAGGAGGGGAATGGGGAGATATAAATCAAAGGACACAAAATAGTAGAAGTATAGAAGTGTGGGATGAACAAGTCTAGAGATCTGATGTACACCATGAGGAATATTGTTAATAATATTGTAATGTATTTGAGATTTTTGCTAAATGAGTATATTTTAGCTCTCCTTGCTGTACACAGAAGAATGGATAACCATGTGAAATGATATCTATGTTAATTTGCTCCACTATAGCAGCCATTTTATTGACTCTATCTCATAATATCATCTTGTATACCTTAGGTAAATACAACAAAATTTATTTTAAAAAAACAAGAATATTTTAGCTCTTTTTCTTGTTTCTCCTTATACAGGTGATTAAAGTATATAGTGAAGATGAAACCAGCAGGGCTTTAGAGGTACCCAGTGACATAACTGCCCGAGATGTTTGCCAGCTGCTGATCCTGAAGAATCATTACATCGATGACCACAGCTGGACACTTTTTGAGCACCTGCCTAATCTAGGTGTAGGTAAGGATGCAGAATCATAGGCTCACATCATTGTTTTTCTGAGCCTTGTAGTATCATATGACAAAAGGTTTTCTTCAGATGTATAAACATACCCCAAAAAAGAATTATGAATAGTTCTTTTTCATTATTCTTTTCATTTTTGGTTGTTGGTGGTTGATAAAGTAGCACAAAATTGAAACAAGGATGAAATACTGTAAATTTACTACCTCTCCTTGCTCAAGTAATGATATGTGGGAATTTTGGCGCTAAAATAACATTCAACAAAAACATTGTTGAGTGGCATTTCAGTGTTGTGCAGGTTAGTTTCAGACTCCTGAGCTCAGTCTAGCAGTCCTACTGTCAGGATCCAGAGTTACTAGGACCACCACACTCAGCTCATAGAGTTCAAATGAACAGAAAGATCAATTTAATCATATTCTTTGGTAGCATAATGAAAAATTCTTGAGAAATTAATAAAATAAAATGGCCTCTGGACTACTTTTGGCATAGACTGCCGTGTAGACAAATGCTGATATCCATCCTGATAATTCTCCTTATGAGAAAGTACACCCTTGATCTCTCTGGAAAAAATAAATAACTTTATTTTTAAGGCATAAACATAAAGATTAGCCTTTAAAAACTTTTAAATTGAAAGTGTATCTCTGTGTTAACAACTCTGGAAAGTTTTACAAATTAGTTTAATAAGCTATAAAGAATGAATTACAGTACTAGACTAAGGCAGAGGTTGAAAGAAATTTTATTCTCTGCTTCCTAATTTTATAGATTCTAATATTAAGGACATGTTTTTATATAAGTAGATGAGGAAGGAATTTGTTATGGCTATATCATTTGATTCTTTTGAACTCAGTATTCATGTGTTTGCTGTAACAAATTATCAAAAATTTAGTGGCTTAAAACAACAGAAATGTGAAGGCCAGGGATGTAGCTCAGTGGTGCCATTGCATGCCTCACAAGCGCAAGGTCCTGAGTTCGATCCCTGGTACCAAAAACCCCCTCAAAAAACAAAAAAAAGCAGAAATGTGATCTCTCACACTTGTAGAGTTCTGAAAATTAGGATCACTGGGTGGAAATCTTGGTGCTGCCAAGCTTGTGATCTCTCTGGAGGCCTAGCAAAGAATACATTCCTAGCCTTTTATAGCTTCTGGTGGCTATCTGCATCCCTAGGCCATCTCAGTCTCCATGTCAGATGGCCTTCTCCTATCTGTGCCAGACCTCCCTCTTCCTTTTAAGAGCAATGACATTCCGAGCCCTACCACTATCCAGGAAAATCTCATTTCAAAGATCCTTAATTTAACCATAACTATAGATGTTTCCCCTCCCCTTCCTCTTTCTCTTCCTCCTCCTTTTCCTCCTTCCTCTTCTTTTACATTCTTTTCTTCCTCTTCTTCCTCTCTTTATCCTCTTCTTTCTCCTCTTCCTTCTGCTTCTGTTCCTCCTCCTTTTCATATAAGGCACCATTCATAGATTCTAGGCATTAAGGTGTGGTTATCTTTGGGGTGTTTTTATTCATCCTGTCACAAACTTCTTTTCATTTTATCTTAAAAACCTCTTAGTAATAAATCATTAAAATCATTTGAAATAACTTATTATTGACAATCTAGTTACTTCCTTCAGTTTATTTGAAGAATAATGAAAAATTTTATACCTAGTCATTAGAGTCATTCACTTTCTTACTTAACTGCCAATATATTAAATTATCCCTTCGTTTAATACATTTGTGGACTTATGCCCCAGGGTGATGTTCCAAAGTATGATTAGATCCGGATGAGAGATTTGCTTTTTCTCTTATAAAAAAGAATTTTAAAATGGTGGTGGCAGAAGTGTATTTATAGGAGGATTCATTTAGATAATATCCTGTAAAGTATTTTTCTTCCCACTACCTTCCTTTTCTGAGCCCTTTAAAGTGTGGGTCCTAGGAAGTGTCAGAACCATAGGGTGAGGACAGAATGAAGCTGTGGAAAAGAAGCTAGAGTAGTTCCACAAGCTTTAGAGGGACTCAGGCCCTGAGTGCCTGCCCACTTGATTCTCACCCGCTGCAGCAGGGCCTGCTGATCTTGGGCTAAGAAGAGAAGGTCATACATGAACCTCCCTAGAAATCCTGAGTTCAGAAGATACCCTGTACTGGCCAGTGAGAATTGCTGTCATCTAGGGCAGAAAAAACTCAACATACATTTTCTTCACTGCCATTTATGACTAACTTAACTTCTGCACATGGTAATCTCACCAAGTCTGATAATTCTTGATAGATATCTGCCATACTCCATATTATTTCATTTAATTATAGTAAAAGGATTATAGCTCTTATATAGCATAATATATAATTATTGTATTTTATATACTCTTACATTTTTCTTTTGGGAGAACTTTAAGAACATTTTTTTGGTTACAGTCACTACAATTTAGCCCTAATAAACATTTTTGAAGTTCAGAAATAAAAATCTACTATGTAAATTAAGCAGCATTTTTCACTCAGGAATACTGCAAATTATTTATATTAAGGAATGTGATGCACAAGTCTTATAATGTAAAAGCTAAAATGGAATACTGAAAATTAGTTTGAGCTACATACTAACTGTAAATTTTTAGGCATGAAATAATAATATAAATATATTTCTCCATTACAGTACAGTGGTGTCTCAGTTCACAAACTTAATTCTTTTCATGATTCTAGTCACAAACCAAACTGGACAAGAACTGAATCAAATTTCTCCATACAGTCGACACTGAATTTGACCATTGAATTTGATTTTGTTCCCATCCAACTTGGTTTGCCACCAGAATAGTGGGAAGAATGAAGTTCATGAATGGAGATACCACTGTATTTTCTAGAAATTGCTGAAATAAAATAAAAGATGTGAGAATGTTGTCTTATCATTTCACCAACCATGAATTAGACCAAAGCTTAGGAGAAAGAATTTTAGATCCAGAGCTTACTTTGTTTTTTTTCTGTTTTGTTTTTTTTTTAGTCAGATAATATATTTAAACAAAACCGTTACAAACATTAGTTCTGTCCAAATACTGACCTGTGTTATATGGAGCAGCTTCTAGTTCTTTGTCTACCAATGTGGTATAACAAGAGAATGACTTCCAGCGAGATGCTGTGGTCTTCTTCTGTATCAGATGTAAACATGTATCTTGAAATGTTTTTGTGGTTGTCATTGTGCTTGCTTTTGAAAAGCTTATAGAATCTCTTGTAGTATCTATGGAACCTAATAATTATATTAAGTAATTCTTTTACATTTTCATAATAAAATGAATGAAAATAACTATAGTGGGTTTATTTTTCCCTCCTTAAATATGATATGCAGCTGATAATGGAATCGACCTCTGATGCTTTCACCTGTGGGTCTGCTGTGAGTGCTGTTGATATAAAGAACCAAGGAACAGTCTATTTGCTGAAACTCAGGGCAGCTAATCAGCTCTACAAGAGCTGATTCAGGAGATTTCTTGGCTGCTGTTTGAACAAAATGATAAGTTTTCCATGAATAGGATTTAAAAAGGAGTAATATCTGCTACTTTAAACATATTTTAGAATGCTGAGGTTTGAACCTAGGGCCTTGTGCATGCGAGGTAAACACTCTACTACTGAGCAACATCCTCAGCCCTAAAATATATTTTAAAATACAAAAATAATTTAACTCATTGTAAATAACAGGGAAATAAAGAGGTGAAGAATCAAATAATTGGCCGTAATTTCACAATACCAAGATAACCCCTATTAACATTTAAAAAAATGTCTTGGATCAGCTTCTCTATTTTAACATATCTCTATTTGTACTCATTTTAACATCTCTATTTGTCTTTTGCAGTCTGTTCTTTTTTGTGTGTATGCACTAAAAATAGTGTTTCTTGTTTTTACCTTTCACTTTATGGAGTCCACATGAAGTAGGAACTACTCCCTGCCTCCTCTGGCCACCTCCCATAAGCAGTTTAGTATGTATTTATAGACAATTTTGTACCAATTTTTGTACAATTTTATAAATCCTGGGGATACAATGAGAACAAAATAGACAAAAGCATTGCCTTTATGAGTTCATGTTCCTTTAAGAAACAGACAAGAAACAAATGATGATGATAAGCACTTGGGATGAAAGGAAAGCAGGAGAGGGATGGTGTGATAATCAGCTTTCTACCTGTTAAGGTTTAGGTTTAAAACGTCTCCCCAAATCTCATGTGTTTAGAGGGTAATTGTATTGTGGAGATGCTATACTCACCAGTGGCTTCATTCATTGATGAGTCCAGGATCTGACTGTGCTGTTAGGATGTGGGTCCTGCTTGGAGGTGGGTCACTGAGGATGTGACCTGGAAGGATACAGACATGACCAAATTTCATTCCTGTGACTAGGTCCTTAAATGAATTGGTCACTGAATGAGGAGTTGTATAATAGCATGTACATTACAAGATTCAGAACAAAGGAATAGTCAAAGGGAACTCCAGCTTGATAACTTCGCTTTTATTTGCCTAACTCTTACATGCAGTACTGCAGTGTATAACTGAACATAAAACTACAGTACTGTACTATACAGTACAATCAGCAAAAGTTACTGTGTAAACAAGATGTATTATACAAAAAAAGACATTGAGGCTATATAAATAAGATATACAGAACTATACAAAAAAAAAAAAAAAGTCAGGCCATAAGTCCAAGTGGTGGGCTGTAAGTCCAAATTGCTGTTAAAACAAGTAGGTCATTAAATGAGGAGTATCTGTATATTCTTGTCCTCAACTCCTCCCCTTCTTTCTCTGCTTCCTGGCCGCCATGGGTTGAGCAGTGTTCCTCTGCCAAGCCCTTCCACCATTGCTGTTCCTGCCCTGGAGCCGGCAAACTTTGGACTGAACCCATTGGAACTGTGAGCCAAACAAACCTCTCCTCATTTAAGTTGTGGGTGTTGGGCATTTTGTCCCAATGACAGTAATGTGCCTAAGATGCCTTCACTATGACAAACTAGCTGAGATAAATCAACTTGAAGGGGGAAAGATTTATTTTGTCCTATGGTTT